CTGTAGAGCATAAACGCCCCCCCCCACCCCCAGTGAGAGGGGAGGACTGTGCTGGGGCTTCATGCAGACGACAGCAGAGTCTGTGTGAGAGGGGAAGAGAGGCTGGCTCACTGATCATCACTCTGGAGAGCAGAAGTGTCCAGTAGTGGTGCAGAGTGCTATGGAGCAGAAGAAACTAGGCAAGCTCGATCTCCAAGACTTGCAGGCCAGTCCTCCTCCTGCGCTTTTTCTCTGACTGCTTCTCATCCCCTGGTATTTTGTTCTCTTTGTTACTTCCCTTTTTTATAGGTGTCAGACAAAAGATCTTATCTTTCAAAGCTTTTAAAATGTTACTGTCTTGTGAGGAAACCTCTTGCCTGCCCCTGACTGTCCTGGAGCAGCTGTGCAGAGAGGAGTGGTTGTGGGGCTGGCTTTCCAGCTCCCAGTAGTTAACACACAAACTTCTTTTCTTCAGTATCTTATCAAGATTCTAAGACAGGAGGACCTTGTAATCTGAAGGGGTAGTGATTTCTATGCGCGGGTAACTGTGGTTACTGCAAAAGATAATGGCAGTTCCTGAGTCCAGAAGAGTTTGCTGGGTGAAGAAGGCTGTGCTTTGAGCCCACCCCACCACAAGGACAGTCACCATTTAATGGATTGGCCAGAAAGCAGCAGCATCTGGCCACCCTCAGTGGTCCAGGTCACACACGGAAGATGCAGGCCTCCCTCTCTGCCCAGGGTGATTGCTGATATGTCCCAGATGTTGAGACGGTGGTTGTTTCCTCCCTTCTGACTCTGTAACGCTGCTCCTGCTGCTTTAGACACAGCTGCTAGGACGTGGCCATAAGATGGTCAGTGATCTCTACAGAGAGGAGGTCTCGGGTGTGAAGGAGCAAAACAGCTGGTGGTCGGCAACAGCTGGTGAGGAGGCAGACTCAGCTGGCAGCAGGCTAAGAAGTCTGCACATCATTCGTGTCCCTGTTCATTTCAGTGCCTTGTGCATAGATGGTAATTAATAAATATTTGTTGAATAGCTGTTGAGTGAGTTGTAGCATTGTTTACTTCATCTAAAAAAACATAAATAACCCAAATATCCACCTGTATGGAATTATGTATGTAGAAAAAAAAATTCTATGCCGCCACTCAAGAGCAAAGTGTATCTATAAATGTGTCAGTCAGAGCTTACTAAAGAAACAGATTTAACCTTACAGATTGGCTTCTCTGGCCGCACACCAGGAGTGTGCAGAAGGGTGTCCACATGCTAGGAGCTGAAGGATCTGAGGGAAGGCCTGGCGTTCAGTGTGAGTGCTGGGGAGTCCGTGTCAGGAGCCGATGGGCTTGCCTGGAGCCCGCCCTGCTTTCTTTCCCCTTTATACCAGTCAGGCAGTAAGCTGCCCAGGCCGGTCTTTAGGAACTTCTTACTCAAGTTGACACCATCAGTTAACTACCACAGATAGTAACGAGTAGGCAACAAGCTGTAAAACAGTCCCCTTTTGGGAAAAATGTTATATACATCTGTAAAAAGAGAGATAAACTGGGCATGGTGGCACATGCCTACAACCTCAGCACTCAGGAGACTGAGGCAGGAGGGTCACAAGTTTGAGTGCTGCCTGAGCAATTTAGCAAGTTCAAGGCCAACCTAGACTATATAGTGAGAATCTCTCACCAGAAACAAAAAATAAACAAACCTGCCTCCCAAAACAAAACTCCAGAGACTGATGTTTACATTTAGACAGCCTAAAAAACATGTATGGCAGTCTCTTAAAAGTTTATTCCTAAATAAAATTAAATTTTAAAGAGTTTATTCCTGAAAAATGTAGTATAACACTTTCCTTTGTCATATAACTATTGTTAGCATTTAGTATGTATTATTCAATGTTTGAAATCAGAAAAATATTGTAGAAAGATTTCAGAGAAATCAAAATAATTGATAAAATGGAAAATTAAGATTCTTTTGCTGTCTTCTCCCTTCCCTTTATTTATTAAATAGTGTGAGACAGAAGATCATTAATTTAAAAAGGTTACTTTTTATTGGAAATAGTTAAAGATCTGCAAAACGTATAGAAAACTCAGAGTTCTTTGCAAAGATAATGTTATTGTTTACATAGCACCTTTTACACCTTGTGGGTTTGTTGTTGTTGTTGTTGTTGTTGTTTGTTTGTTTGTTTGTTTGTTTGTTTTGCGGAACTGGGGATTGAACTCAGGCCATTATACTTGCCAGGCAAATGCTTATTCTACTGAGCTATCTCCCCAGCCCGTATTTATCCTTGCAGAACAGAAAATGGTCTCAACATAATTTAGCTTTTTTGGTAATTCTTAAATACCTAGTGCCAGTAAAATTTTGCTTTGTAATTATTGGCTAAACTCTCCTATAATATACTTCTAGTGCTTAACAGAAAAAATCCTCAACGTCTATTGACCTGGTGGTCACATTAGTGTAGAATATTTTCTCCCAAGACGGCAGCAGTGGACCATTTCTTCCTTCTTTCCAGCGTATCTGTGCACCTCTGAGAATGAGTCAAATGGCCGTGGGTTGAGACTTGCCCAACTAGGGCAATAAAGAGAAAAATTAGTCTAATGCATGATCTTAACAAGAGGGAGAGTGTGAGCATGAATAATTAATCTCACTAGTCTGTGGCATTCAGATAAAATGAAGTCCCATTTGCTCAACCTTATTAAAAGAGAGAGAGTGCAGAGGGAGGGAGCCATGGTAAAGGTCGTTAAGGGACCGTAATGTGGAAGACCTGCCTTTGAGGCGGTAATGTGTTTTCTAATCTCTGTGGTCTTTAACTAAACACAATGGTGAAGGTTCTCTTCGTAGTTCTGATTCGTTGAATTATTGAACATTTTAGAAACTACTTGACTCTTGACTGCTGACTTAGATGTCTTTATGACGAATTTGTAGTCTTTTTGATGAGAGATTAGATCTCTGTATCATTTAGAGATGATTCATCTTGAACTTCTAGAAAAAGTAAAGATCCAAGCTGATTTCAGTTCTTACATTTACTGTGGACATGTTTCCAATTAAAGCACTAACTTCCTGCTGAGGTAGTATTTTTATTTAATTTATCTGTGTGTGTGTGTGTGTGTGTGTGTGTGTACACGCGTGTAGTATGTGCATGTGTGCATGGATACTGGGAATTGAACCCAAGATTTTGTGCCTGTCAGGCAGGCACTTGTGTCCTCATTGAGCTATATTCCTGGCTCCTGGAAGTATTGTTAAAACAAGGAAATATGAAGTCTAAAATATTGAAAGCTCTATAATGAGAAGTAGGTTCAAAATGTTACTTTTTTAAGTTAACAAATGTTTTAAAACTTGGGGCATAGTAGTATGTATTTACAGGGAATAGCTCAGCATTGCATTAGTGATTGGATCTGGATAGCTACTTAAGTCTTGTTTATTTCTTTGTGTTGGGAACATTGAAATTTTTTTCTTGAGTAGCCATTTTGAAGTAATCACAGAATATTAGTTTTCTGCTATACCATCATTTGCTGTTTTAAAATTTTTTTGTCTTTCCAGTAATAGATTTTATGTTGTTATTTGCTGAAAATAGATTTATTTCTATATTCTTGCTTGGAAGAATCATATTTTGATTAAAATTACTGAAATCTTTCTCAGTCAGAAACTTGATTTGAGCAACATCCCACCTTGTTCTCTGTCATTTTAATCTATTAAGGCAGTTTTTGAACTGCAAAGTTGTCTTTCCTTCCAGATGTTGTTACCAATCATTAATTAGTATTATGATAGTTTTGAAGATCAGGAATTTCACTTATTAAATATTCACATGTTAGAAATGTGTACTGACAATGACATGGGTGGTCTTCAGGGTAAAGGTAATTTCATTTATTGTTAATTTCTCAGTAAGGACCTAAGATTCTGTTACATTGTGAGAAATGTATAGGTGAAGAAACAACATGTTATTTCTGCGTGTATGCTGTGAGGAGAATCTAGAAAGCAGTAGTGTTAAACTGTTGAGTTTAATGATGAGCTTTGAAGTCTTTCCTATGTGATCAACAGAATGGAAGGTCTGCTCAGAAGATGGGAGGTGTCTGTGTCAGTGAGGAGACTTTGCACTGTGAATTTGGGATGGAAGACTATGTCCTTGCATCTACCGCTAGCTCCTTGGCACCAAGGATAGTGGCCAGAGGAAGCACTTAATTTTGATTGAACTAAGTTGCATTGAGTTACTAAGTATTTTTAGTAAAAGACTTAAGCACTCTGAAGTGCTCATCCTTTACTTCTGCCCACCCCCATTAGTGCAGAGAAAGTTCAGTTGAAGATGACAAATACATTGTCTAGAAATTGAAGGCACCTTCCTCCTTGCTTTTATACCTTATGGGACGGAGCTTCCTCCAATTAGCAAGGCAGAATGGGAAGAAGAGTTTTCAGTGTGGAGTTTGTTTAAAGGAATCACCTGATGCTTAACTATGCTCCATGCTCCTGGATACGTGTGCTGTACATTCTTTTTCGTCTATGGTATAAATACAGCAAGAGCCCCACCCCTATAGACCCTGGTCATCTACAAGCTTTCTGATTCCTTCTTAGCATTCCCATTAATTCCAAATCAGTTGTAATCAGTGATCCTTAATTTTCCCCCTTTTTTCTGCTAAAAAAGAATTAGTAAAAAAATTAAAAAGAATTGGAATACGTGGACTGGGCCAGAGAGCTCAGTGGCAGAGCTCTTGCGTGGTGTACGTGAGGCCCTGGGTTGCATCCCCAGCACCACAATAACAACAGCAGCAAATTCCTAGTTTCCCATTTGGCGCTTTTCCTTTGTATTCTATAAACCTGTTTGCACCTTGGCCTGAGGAATTTTGGATTTTTGTCCATGATTTTTTACATTTCCTTTTGTCACTCTAACGGCCACATCCGTACATTCTCAGTATAGGTGCAGAACATTTTCCTTAGCAGAGGCAGAGTGGAGTGCCTATTATACATTGTATGATGGGGAGATGGAAGTGTTTGATGTCAGTCTGGTATATAGACTTGAGCACCCACATTGTTTCTCCTCCTCTCTCAGATCCTGGTGTACAGCCTGGAAGCAGAACGCTGCCTCTCGAAGCTGGGTAATGCGCTTGGTGACTTCACTTGTGTCAACCTCAGAGACAGCCCCCCCCACCTCATGGTCAGTGGCAACAGGGACAGGAGGTATGTCTGCGTGGGAAATGCAGTGCTGGGGGGCACTGCACTTCTGTGGGTGACTGGTCTCCCAGCTTCCAGAGTGCTGGCTAGTCTCCACTGCATGTGTTCCCCACTTCACACACCTGAATTCAGCCCCTGCCGCACTCTAACTTGGAGAACAGTCTTGCATTAGGTAATAGTTGGATCTTGCTGTGGCTCCGCTCTGTTTCTGAAGCACCACAGGACGGTTTTCTTTTCGGCCAGTTGGTGGACACAGTTGGTGGAAGGTCCAGTGAGACCACTTGGAATATCTTTTGTCTCCCTCCTGCAAAATTTGTTTGGCATTTAAAAGCTCACTTTCTAATATTAAAAACAATAACCTAAGGGATGAATCATGTTCCACAAAATAGGGTTGCCTGCCAAATGATGTCAAGAGTGTATTTCAGAACACTGTGGTGTCCCTCTGGTGATGGGGGAAAAAAGAGACTTGATGTGAACAGATTCCAGTTTCTATTTAGCTGATTAGCAGCCTTCTCTTTAACGCACTGGTTTAGGGAGTGAGATTTTCCCGGTGCAGGATCCAGTGCCAGGCCTGGACACTCCAGGAGCCCTCAACACAAAAGGACTAGAGTGCTTGAAAAGACCCTCCAAGCCCAGATTTCAGATTTTTCCTCCTCCTACTCCCTTTCCCCCTTGCCTTTTCTCTTTCTTTCTCTCTGCCATTTATTTATTTATCTTTGGCTGGTTATCTGCAGTGTCTGATCCAGTGCCCCAAAGAGAGTAGCGTGGCTAGAGGCCAGGGTCTGCTGGCGCTACCCCCAGGCCCACCCCAGCCCACCCCGGGCTGCAGGTGGTGGGCACCAGCTTGCGAGGCAGGCACTCCCCCGAGCCACATCCCAGGCCTCAGCCCCACCAGGGCAGCAGCTTGCAAAAATAATTATTTTATCAAATAATATTTTCAACTCGTGACCTTCACATCTCTGTCTTCTCACCTCCCACTGCAAAAAGATGTGTGGGTGTGGTGTTTTGGTTTTTTTTGGCAGGGGGCTACTTGATCTTTTTTATTATTTTTTTTTCAGGTGAGCTACATCGCTGATATTCTGATGCTTGAGAATTGAACTCAGAGCTTAGTTTTTAGGCTTGATACTTAGCCCTACATCTGGCTCAGGAAATGCAGCAGTCAGTGTACTTGGAGCTTAGCTGATAGGATCTCCACAAATGAGCCTAGCAGCTCCTTGTTTTTGAGGAGAGCAACTATAGAGGATGTTGGGGATAGCCAAACAGAAAGGTTTGAAACTGCAGTTTGTGACCCAGAGTTTGTTTGCAATATGAGCACTTAAGTATTCAGCCGTAGAGAAGTTAGCTTTCAGGAAGCCAAACTGTGTTCAGAGAAGAGACCTTTGCTTTCTGCTTACTTTAGCCCAGTTATCACTAGGAGGTCATGAGCACAGTCATCTGTACAGCAAGCTGTCAGCTGGGTGACCTGTTTATCTCGTATAGGTATCTTTTGCTCTGGAGAGGCTGGCTCCTTGTGACCCGGCAGCCAGAACAGGAGCCATGGGCCTTCCATGAACTGTCTACTTGGCCTGTGTGGAACCACATTTGACCTTGCTGAGTGTGCTTTATTATTAGGCTAATATTATGTTTTTTTAAAGGCCTTTGTCTCTGTGGATGGGAATAACGGACTGGTGACTTAGAGTTGGGGTTGGGTGTCCAAAGTGGCATTTAATTAGGGCTAGTCCTAGCACTGTCTGACCTCTGCTGGCACATGGGACTTGCTTCACATGTAAGAAAACTCTACAGATCAAAATAGTAGGGTCTGCCACATGCACTCGAAATACTAGGGTTAAAAATGTTCTGTTTTAAATAAAAATGGAACCTCTGGAATAAAGGAGTCTAGACTTCTAAATGTGGTGGAAGGAAGCCTTACCTTCCCCCACCGAAGGTTTTATACTGTAAGAAGATGCACTGCCAGGCCTGTAAGCTTGTGCTTTATTTCAGAAGAAGGAAGAGGTCAAATGCTATGAGAACTACATCCTTTGCTGCCACTTAATGACAGATGAAATTTTAAGAACTCTGGAACCTTCTTATTTTTCTTTAAAACGACAACAAAATAAACCCTTTAAATTTCCACTGCATTCTCTTAGTACTTTATAAATAGCTTGAGAATGAAATGAACTTTTTTTTAGTGAAATGAACTTTAAAGATACATAAAACTGTCCCAGGTTGACAAAAATAATCCTTTATTAAAGTATGGAAAGTAGTCTTCGTAGTTTGCAGGCATGGGTGGAATACTGAGAATTTTATTTTGGGCATAAAAGTAGACTTCAATTAAAAAATTTAAAAGTACTTAGCTTGTTATCCTTTCCAGAAAAAAAGAAAAGAAAAAAACAGGATAGTTAGAGTCTGCCAGAAAATAGACAGTGATGGTAGAAACAGAGTGGTTGTTAGGCTGTCCTCCTGCTGAGGAGCGTGGTGCAGGGGCTTTGCCCAGAGTGTTGTCAGTATAGACCAGTGAGCTTTTCTGAGTGCCTGTTTTGTCTTTCTTGGTGTATTAGGAAGCAAAGGCACATTAGAGGAGTGCTGGGTATCGGGATGGCTGGTATATACGTCTACCCTGTTTACCATGGTATCCATGTCCGGCTCAGTGCTGCCTGACATTATATGTTTTATACTTATTCCCAGATAAACTTTTAAATTTTACTTTTATTTAAAGTTTTTCACATCTGTAATGTCAGGACATGCTGTTTACAGGGGCATCATAAAATTCATTGGCAGCATTTTTAAGCATTGCATACAATCATGGTCCTTTTACAGTCTATAGTGTTAAATGAAAGTGATTGTTAACTGAAGGTGAGGGGAATTAATTGGTTAATTAATTAATAGCTTAGGAATTAGGGCATTTATGAGATAGTTGAATGAGTCACCAAGGAAAGATCTGCAAAATTTTTTTTCTTATATTCTACATTGAGATTTGGAATCTAAATTTATGTCTTCTACCAAATTTGAGAAGACTTCTAATCATTACTTCTTCTTTTCCTGCTCTCCTTCTGGGACTTCAGTGACAAGAATTAGGCCTTCTGATCTTCTCCAGCAGTTCAGTGGTGCTCTGTACTCTGGTCATTTGTCTTTCTGAACCGTATTCTGTTTTTAAGACTATACAGTTTCTACTGCTTGCTTATTTATTTATTTACTTATTTATTGTCTTTCTGAGACAAGGTCTCCGTATGCAGCTCAGGCTGGCCTTAAGCTCACTTTATACCCAGGCTGGTCTCGAACTTGTAGCAATCCTCCTGAGTACTAGCTGGGATCACAGATGTGCACCACTACACCCAGCACTACTGCTTCATCCTGAGGTTCACTGTTTCCTGTGTCAATTTCATCTTGCTGTTGAGCCCATCTCGAGATTTATTTCAGATTCTGTATTTTTGGTTCAAAAATTTCCTATTAGATTCTTATTTTTCTACTGAGAAGGTACTGTCTTCCTCATTCTACCTTCCTCTCGTGGGAGATATTTATAGCCAATGACTTCCCAGATCATTAGGGTTGACATCTTTTCCCTCAACAGTGGATCACATTTCCCTGTTTCATTTCGTTTGAGGTATGTCAGGTAATTCTGGATCATGTCCTGGACATTGTGGATATGTTATGTTGCATACGTTGATTCGCATTATATGATTCTCAGGAGAAGGGTAATTTAAACAAACAAACAAACAAACAAACAGGCAGTCACCCTGGCTAGATGCACACTGTACGTAGGTCACGCTTTCTGCTGGTGGTGCCTCCAGCATCAGCCCAATTTCCAGAGCCTCTGCTCTGCTAGTTTGGCATAACCTGCGCATAAGCCTCACAGGACTTAGTCTGAAGGTTGGCAGTGGTTTCAATCTCGTTGAGTTCTCCAAGCCACTTTGGATCTGTCCTGCACACTCAAGGATGAGCCTGGGGCTCATGCATGCTCACACGAGGCTTTAGGATCCCCTATTCCTCCCCCTTTCTTAGCCCTTATACTGTCCAGCACTCAGGATCCCCTTTCCCTGGTCCTCTTGCCGGAAGTTGGGCTTTCTGTCAGAGTTTGCCTGCTCATGTCACCATCCACTATGTAGCTCTATGATTGAGAACTATTCTTGAGATAGAGACTCTAAAGAAGAGAGGAGAAATCCCAATAAGGACTCCCACACTCACTGTCTGGATTCTAAGGGCCCCTTTCACTGGTTCCTCTGATCAGAAAAGTAAGGTCTGCCTCTAAGTTGTAGCCTCCCACACCACGTCCAGCACCACAATAAAATATAGGGAAGCGCTATTGGACAAGGCTGTAAAAGAGTGCGGGAAAGAGGGGGAAGTACTTCCCTGTGCAGTGCTTCCCAGGGTGGGACTCTCCTCCATGACCATCACTTGAGTGCACTCACTGTAGCCCCAGCAGTCTTATCTTCCTACTTCTGCCATAAGTTTGATGATGGTCAGAATGTGAGAGGTAGCATTAGGTGGCTTACTCTGTCTTGGCCAGAATGGACAACTTTCTCATTTTCTGCTTAACTAGTGCCATAGTTGGCAGTCGAGGGCTGTGCTGAATGAGGTTCCCTCCTATTTTGTGTCTCTGGGCCATCCCACCTGTGGTCTGCTTACTCTCACCCATGACATCAAGGGTCTACAATGGAGCCACTTCATGTGCACTGCTGGGGAGAACAGAGTAAGAATTGGTGCCAAGGCTGTTGCTTCAGCTTCTGCTGGCTTGCTAGAAGTAATCCTAATGCACCATTCACTAAACCAGTAAATCCTGCAGCCCTCTCCCTATTCTAGTTTATTTTCTATTTTTAGCAGCTTTGTTGAGGTAAAATTCATATACCATATAATTCAGTTTAAATTGCACAGTTTAATGTTCTGAGTCAGATAGATTTATATACCCCTCACCATAGTCTTAATTTTTTGCATTAACATTTCATTTTATATTTTTATTGAGATATAACTTATATACAATAGATTCATAGTCAATTTTAGAATGTATTCATCCCTCCAGATAGAAGTTCTGTACTTATTAATAGTCATTGTCCATTTCCTCTAGTCTGTCCATCTCTGTGCAACCACTGATCTACTTTCTATCTGTATGGATTTGCCTATTCTGGACATTTCATATGAATAAAATCAGTTATACCCCTTTGGGACTAGCTTCTACCATTAAGCATAAATGTGTTCAAGATAAACCCCACAATAGCATGAAACAGTATGACATTCCTTTTCATTGTCAAATAATATCCTGTTGTGTGGATAGACCATGTTCATGTCATTTATCCATTCGTTAGTTAATGGAATTTGGGTTGTTTCGCTTTCTGACTCTCATGCATAATGCTGCTATTATCATCATCCATATGTATGTTTTTGTGTTATGTGTGTTTTCTGTTCTCTTGGGTTCATACACTTAGGAGTGAAATTGCTGGCCTGTGTGTTGATTCTGTGCTGTAATCACCTGAAGAGTTGCCAGGCTATTTCTAAAGTGACTGTGGCATCTTTCATGCCACCAGCACTGTAGTGAGGGGTATCCTCACCAACACTTGCTCTTATTGTCCCTGAGATGGTCGTTCTCACGAATGCGGCGTGGTATCTCCTTGTGGTTTTGATTTGCATTTCCCTGGTGCTAATGGTGTTCGATACCCTTTCATGTCCATATTGCCCATTTGTGTATCGTGTTTGAGAGATGTCTCTCCAAATCCTATTTTTAATTGGGTTTTCTTTTTATCATTTTGTGTGTGTAGATGTATACTTCATCAGACATAATTTGAAGATATTTTCTCCCACTCAGTGGGCTGTCTTTTCACACTAGCTGCAGCATCCTTTGAAGCACAAAAGTGTTTAATATTGATGAAGTTTGGTTTATCTGGTTTTTTTCTTTTGTCACTTGTGTATGCCATTGGTGACATATATAAGAAGCCATTTCCAAACCCAGGGTCACACGATTTACTCCTGTGTTTTCTTCAAAGAATATTATACTTTCAGTTCTCACACTGAAGTGTAGGATCCTGCAGGAGCTGAATTTTGTATGCTGTGTGAGCTAGAGGTCCAGCTTCATTCTTTTGCATGTACACATCCAGTTGTCTGGGCACCATCTGTTGAAAGCCATTCTTTCTCCCACAGAATTGTGTTAGCACCAGTCTTAAAAATCAAATGACCATAAATTTGAGGGTTTACTCCAAACTCTCATTTCAGTTCCATTTGAGCTGTATGTCTATGTTTTGCCAGTACCACACTGCCCTGATTATCTGCAGCTTTTTGATTAAGACATGGTAGGTATTACACAGTAAGCTTCCAGATGTCAGGCATGGTGTCTTTGTGCAGGAAAATAAAAAAACTTGTGTTGGAATCTTTGTGTGCAACATGGATATATGAAGCACTCATGTGATAAACACTTTCAGTATTAAAATTAAGTAAAAGGTTTGGTATTTCCAACGTGGGATCAGGTGCCCTATTGTATCGGTAGATCATGACCACTGTGCCTCACAGGCAACATCACAGGCTGCCTCGCCGCAGATCACTATATTTAGGGCTTAACAGAGAGTCTTCAAGACCATCTCCGTGCAGACCCAGCAGAGGAACCAAGGTCCAGAAAGGTTTGGAGGCCATTCCACAGGACTTGTTACTCTTGACCATATTAACTTTATGTTCTGTGTACAGAGCACACTACTGCTCGACAAAGTGCTCTAGACACAAGGTACATGAAGCGTGGCCTAGGTGGAAGAGGCTAAGCAAGTCTACCTGAAATACATGTTTTTCCAGTTGCTGTTTAAAATGAATCATTCATTAAAGGCCAGCCTCAGTACCATGTAGATAAAGCTATTGATTTTGGCAGGTAAGGCTATATTTTAAATCCTTTTTAATAGCTCAGGTTCAGTGAAATAAAACAGAATTATGTGATGCTTTCTTTAAAAAAAAACAAAAAAAAAAAAAAACAGTGTTCTTGATTAATTTAGTCATTTTTTAAAAAGCCTGCATTTGAATGCTTTTATGGCTTGTTCCCTTTATTTTTGGCCTAGAAATACAGCTAAAGGTCAGGTCCTCTTTAATGAAACTGCCAAGCCAGAGTCTGAAATAGGCTTCAGTTTGCCACCAAATAGAGTTTGCTTTATTGTATGGAGCTGTTTAATCCAAGCCAATAGGAAGCAAGCCCTGAGTTGTGACCCCTAATTAAAGAAGTCCAAGCTTCCTTCCTGCCTGACAAATAGAAAGTTGTGGTGTGCTTGTAGTACGCTGCCTGCTGCTAGAGAGTACGCGAGCAGGGCGTAAATGTTGCATTTGCTCCATCTGCAAGTGTTATAATAAGTTATTCAAAGCTCTTAACACAGGACCAACCAGAGCGTGCCTCCCTCTCAGTTCCAGCACGTTTTCCTGCCCATCAGATGGATGCTCCTCTGTTGGAGTCTTTGGAAGGTTCTGGTGTCTTTTGTTTTAATTGGCGGGCTAGAGCCGGCTCCTATGGTGTGATTTTCATTAGAGAGGGGCTGCAGAGAGGGAGTGTTGGAACAATCCTCCAAGCCCAACCATGAATATTAAACATAATACAATTACAGCTTTTGGACCAATTATTTTTCTTTTCAGTGGGCAAAGTTGATGAAATACTCGCTAGATGGAGATTCACAATATCTACCATTGGCTTCTTTCTGTCCCTGGACCCAGCTGTCCTGGCATATCTTTGTGCCCATGTGCTGTGCTACCTGTTTCCCGGTATCGATTCAATTTGAGCACTGAGGTTATAGGCTTTGCCAAGGTACACTGCATTTCAAATTGGTACTGCACGCTGTCAGATGTTTGAGGCCGATACCTGCTTCTTAATGTGAATTTGATGACTTGGGTGGACTTAGCACACTGGTGTTTGCTATTTCTGTCTGTCAACAAGAGCCAGAGGGCTGCTTCTCTAAGGAGATGTCAGAAAAATACTTCTCCTTTTTTCCTTTGGGGATAAGTTCAAGTCTGTTTTGGCCCATTTTTGTTTTCCTTAGTGATATCAAGTATACTACTGCTGTATCTTTTGGTGTATTTGTTTGTTTTGTTTGGAGCCATCCATGCTGGTATCTAAATACAATAGGAAAACAGATGGCAAACTTTGAACTTCTGGACCAAATTTGTGTTTGCCTTTGTCTCCTTAACAGCCAAACTGTAAATTATGGAGTATAAATATTCAGCAGAGGACCTCTTTATGGAAATTACCACAGCAGAATAGACCCTTATTAACCAAACATGCACCGAGAATTACTCAGCCTAAAGTTTTTTACCTGCCCCCATCGCACTCCTTACCAAGTCCCAGTACAGTCTACAGGCAGTGCTTATTGTACTGCATTTTTACTGCTTCTCTCTTCTCTGCCTGAACAGCTCAGATCTCTTTCCCTACAAAGGCCTAAAGGTAGGTATTATAACTTGCTCATGGAGAGGGAGATCTTTGTTCTGAGAGCCTGTTTACGCTTGCTCCTTGTCTTTCCAGTCCCAGGCCCCTCCCTGGAGAGGGCAGCTGGACAGCTGGCTGTTCTAGCAGTAGTAGGTCTCTGTTCACCTGCATCAGCTCTCCAGTGCTGTGCAAGCCAAGGGATAATGGATCTCTGCGCGGTGTTATAATGGATCTCTGCACGGTGTTCTAAGCCTGTATTTGCTTTTATTTTCTGCTTCACTTCACATTGCCTAAGAAATAGGTAGATACATTGTTTTATTTATTTTTATTTATTTATTTATTTATTTTAGCATTTTATAGCACAAGCTTTATAAGCAAGAGAACACATTTTCCCATTGTACTGTCCAGCAGAACCCAGGTTCTGGGGCTCTTGGTCATAACAATCCTCAGTGAAGGCTTCAAGCTTTGCCACTTAATACATTTTCCAGGGCTCTGGTTACCTGATCAGCACTGAAGTTGTTCAAGGAGACATTCTTTTCTTCACCAAATGCGTAGCGGGCCCACAGTTTGGGTTGAACATCGGAACATTCGCGGATTAGAATGGGAAGGTCAGGGTTCGCCTTCTTGAGTTCCACATAGCGTTTTTCAATGAAGTCCCTCACACCCTGGCTGCCGGGCGAGCGCTGACATAAGTGGATGCGAATCTCACACAGACCCAGCTTTGCCCCAACCACTCTACCAGCCGCAGCCGCCGCCATCTCCACTTACTCCTTAGATTCGAGTCCCTGATGTTCCAGATACATTGTTTTAAACACTGAGAAACAAAGCATACTTAGGGGATGTATGTAATAAGAGTGTGTGCGCAGCTTCAGGAATAGCAGAGGTCGCCCTTGCATGACCAAGGCCCTTGAAGAATGAGTTTGTGCTTTTTAAACCTGACTGTGTCTGGGGTGAAAGAAAAAGCCTCCTTGGGACCCTCAGTGCTCCTCTGCTACACCTCTTCTCCAGAGCAGCAGCCACTAGCATTTCAAGTATGTTCTTCCACACCTTCATCTTCAAAACAGTTCTGTTACTAAAACAGGGAACACACACTTGCACAACTGAATTCAGAGCCACCAGGCGGCACAGAGGGCAGGCTCAGCCTCCATCCCTGCACGGTGTGTTGCGCAGCGTTGTCTGCACACGGTCTACCCCCGACACCTGCTGGCGCGCAGATGCTCCATGGGCAGCTGTGGGCTGCCGCTCCCTTTCCCCAGCACACAGTGGATCCCAGGCTTAATTGGGCCGTCCCCATCCAGTCATTCAAGTGCACTACAGCCCTAATTTTTGCTGCCCGTCTAATTATCATTCTTTAATAGGTAATGTCTTTTCCCCCAGGTTGCTGTTAAGGCCTCTCTATCTATTCCCTCTTTTTAAATTACACTCTTAGGTATGTATTCCTTTTTATTTATTCTTACTGGTGCTTGTCAGCCTGAGTCTGTATGATATGCATGAGTCCTGGGAAAGACCAAGTGCCTACGTGTTGCTGCTTTGCCACACATTCTTTCTCGCTCTGGGACTTCTTTCAGATGGAGACTGATCCACCCCCTTTTGTCTTGCACATTGTCTCTTAACTCCTCATTCCCATTTTAATGTCTTTATTCTTTTATATCTCTTCTTGGTAATTTCTTAAAATTTGCCTTCTGAGTCACAAATATCCTAATCCACTTCTAGGCCATCTCTATTCATGGAAGTTTTGTGTAACATTTTTAAAAACAGGAGTCTCAGAACGCCCTGCCGGGGCTGGTGAGATGGCTCAGTGGTCTAAAGCACCTACTTAGAATAAGCTTAGCAAAGCACAGGGACCGCGGTTCAATCCCCCAGC